GAAGACATCATGTGATTTACATGAAGACATCATGTGATTTACATGAAGACATCATGTGATTTACATGAAGACATCATGTGATTTACAGGAAGACATCATGTGATTTATATGATGACATCCCGTTCTGCCCTGACTGAGAAGCAGCTTGAAAGCTCCAGACTGGCAACAAAGGAAGCCTGAGATGAAGCAAAGAGAAGAGGAGGAACCAGATGAACTGATGTGGTGTGAGGATATATTTAGATGCAGGATGAAACGTGTCGACAGATAAATAAAAGAGTGACAGGGCTGAAACGTAACAATGAAAACACGCACACACGAGAGAGAGGCAGCGACTGCTCGCTTCACACTAACATCTCTGTAAGAAAAGAGCATAAACAGAACAACGGTTTCATCACAGCACAGACACAAGGGAAAGCAGAAAGTTCAAGGTAAAAACCCAAATCTCCTAAATTTAATATCGCAAAGTCGAGACTGGACAAAAAATAAACATAAAACCTAATTCTGACGTTGTTCTCTCGTATTGATGGTTGTAGTCTTTAAAAACTAAAACATAAACTGAGTTTCTGCAGAAATGACTGAAAATAGGTGAAACTAGTTTAAGTTTATGAAAAGTTGTTGTTCATGGTGCCCCGCTGCTTCAACTCCAACATTAACTGTTGTTCAGGAGCACATTGAATCCTAATGTTCATCTAAAGTCTTCTCCAAACTTATCTGCTGTATCCACCATGGTTCTGGGGTTCCATCAGTGCACACCACGTGCACACACCGATGAACTTTGGCTTTGTTTACACTGAGTGCGGACCCGCACCTGGAAATCTAGCAAACTCTTTCAAACTGCACGTTTTATGTGAATCAAGACAAACATTTTTAATGTTGGACTTGTCACTTGGCTTTAAATGTGAGAAGTAAAGATGAAGCTTTGATACGGTCACAGAACGCGCACGGCTCTGTGCACCTTTGTGCTCTTTGCGCGGACTCACCACAGCTGTCTCTTGGTGGGGAGGCAGTCTTTGTTGGACGCGGTCACCCCCATGGCCATCTGCATCACCGTTATGTATTTCTGGTACTTCATGGTGTCCTCCTGTCTCCCGCTTCTTCTAGGAGTCCGCGCGCCACGGAGGCAGCACAGGTGAGCGCGCATCCAGCCGACCGCCGTTTTCCGCTCGCGTCTTCCGCACCCAAAGCGCCATTTTTCACGCCGGGAGGTGGGCTGACAGGAGGGGGGGGCACGGTCCCAGAGGAGCTGAACGGAAGCAGGTACCGCGCCGCCGCTCACTCCCTAATCTCATTTAGAGCTCAGAATAGATTAGCTAATCCGTTCAGTTTTAGGCAGCACCGGGTCATTGTTGTGGCTCGGCTCAGCGGACACTTGTCTCTGGATGTTGTTGTTTGTTGTTGTTGTTGTTGTTTTTCCAATTGTTACACTCCGGTGTGCGCGTGTGGAAGTAGGAGGAAAGCGGCAAACAGGAGGATGCAGGAGCGACAGCACTCAAACGTTCTGCCAGGGAGGAGGAGGAGGAGGAGGAGGAGGAGGAGGAGG